ATGGACAGCTCTTACTCGCGCTCTCCGGCTCTGCAAGATTCGGAAGGGAATGATTCAGATTTCTCTTTGCACCGCTACTAGGTTACTCAAGTCTCATCTCCGTCGTCAAGCTCAGTTTGAGCCTGCGCAGTCGTTCAGCCATTTCTTTTACAGTCTATGGTTTTAAGCGATTTGAACGTTTCCTTTTTGTTAAAACCCGAGCAAAGAACAACACTCGGAGATGTTTCTCCGTCATCAACGCACTAACACCGCACTGCCACGATGAAGATTTTAAAACTGGAAGACGAAAAAAGCGGAAAAATACCCCTTAAATTTAACCATTTTAACCATACTATTAAATCTAACAGATGCTAACATTGTCTTCAATGGTGTTCAACACACATACCTCTGTTAAAATCTCAGAAAATTTGGTTTGGGGTTTAATGGCTCTTTAAGAAAGATTAATAAATCCTGTAGAACTATTGTTCATTGTTAGTTAATGTTAACTAATACTAACAAGACACTAACATTTTTTTCAAAAAAGTGAATGGAAATATGAATGTAAAATAAATTTTAAAGTTAATTAATTCCTCACTGGTTCAAACTAGGCTACTGTACTGTATTTGTTTGTTTCATGTTGAAGTGTTTGGGAGATTGGCTTTTAATGATGATCGTTTCGTTTTTGTAATTAGGCCTTTCAAAGTATATACAATTTGCCAATATATCAGATCTCGGCTTTCAAATATAAAGAATGATCAGTTATTGAACTCGGCCCAAATGTTCATATCTGTGTATCCCTAATTTGATTTCCAAAAATAAAAAAAACAAAAAACAATACCTTCTGTTCATCTCCGACTTGATTTCGAGTGTTGATTTCGAGAGTGGAGCAATCAACCTCACTGGGAGTCTACAAAACATAAAAGTAGACATGAAACACTGGTGTAAATATGTGAACACTAGATCTCACAATGTGTCTGCTTCGTTTGCTCATTCTCTTCCAGCACAACTCTCACTTACCTCGTGCAGTCCCAGAGTCAGAGCACATAATCATCACTGCCTGAGGACAACTGGGTCTTATGGCTCATCTGAAAATATGAAATAAAGCGTTACATACAGAACACTTCACCTAAGAGTTTAAAAAAATCATAAATAATATATAAGGACAATGTAGTCAGCCAGTTATTAATAATCAGGGTCCCGATACACAGCTACCTATCAATACTTATTTCCACATGAAATATTGATTTGAGATAATATACAAGATTACAAAACATTTCAATATTTAAATGTTAGCCAAGGTAATTTTAATGGATTTTATGCATCACATTACAAGTGTTTTCATTAAAGAATGTCACGTGTCTTACACCATTTTTTTATGAGGACATCATAAGATGAGATGTTCCTGATGTTTGACTTGACTGGAGAATCTCAGTGTGTTGTGTAAGTTTGACAGAAGTCTGGTCTATGAGGACAGTAGTTTTACCAGGACACTGGTAACTAGAAACATTTGGATGGCACCCTGAGTTTAAGTATGTTTATGTATGAGAGTGATATAATACGAGACATTGCGCCTGTGCTAGAAATACAGTACGTGATCATGACTCACTTCTTATACACACAATCATAATTCAGTGACTGATAACAATCTGTTTCTGAGGAACTGAAATCTGTTCTATTCTTTAAGGAATAACTCAATTATTACATTAACATGGTCTTATCAGTTATCATCTGAAAAAAAGAAAGAAGAGCAAATAATATATATATATATATATATATATATATATATATATATAAAGACAAACAAGTACAAATTTTATTATTACTTATTGAAAGCCAATTTCAACAGAGGTTACTATTTTTTAACTTCTTCAATGATTACATTTAATCTAACAAGCACAAATAGTTTTTGATGGTATTCGCCAAAATGAGCTGTGAATTATGGGTCAGTATATCAGTATCGATCCTAATATTCCATATTTGTGTCCTGGTAAAACTGTGTCCTCATAGACCAGGATTCTGTCAAACTTACACAACACACACAGATTCTCCAGTCAAGTCAAACATCAGGAACATGTTCTTATGATGTCCTCATAAAACGGTGTCCTCATAAACCAGGTGTAAAGCTACACACAACCTGACATACTGTAATGAACACGCATGTAATGTGATGCACTAAAGCCCTGAACATTAATCTGTAGGGCTGCACAATATATTGCTTTATCATTCATACCTATCTGTGGTAGTGAGTCTAGTGACACTGCAGTATTAGGCCTATGTGAAGTCAGGCTATACATGCATAACCTAAAGATGATGCAGTGTTATTTTACAGTTATTTACTCAATTTCAGTACTTAAATGTTGTTAGACTCACCTGGAAAATATGAGCCACTGATTATTTCACATCTTTGTTACATTTTTTTATCTATGCTTTCCATTTATTATTTTCTATACAGATACAAACCCCAACAAAATCACGCCAATCATTCTAGAATGATTAATTATCTCCAAATAGAGCTATTTAAGTAATTTGTAGAAATTGCTTTTTATATTGCATTATATATTGTAGAAAAAACAAATATTGCAATATCAGTTTTTTGCAATATCGTGCCGATCTATTACATAGGGTCATTTTTAACCTTTAATAATAAAACAAGTAAAATCAACACTGTAAATAACATATCATGTAGCTGACACAGCTTTATTAAACAGTGTCACTTCAGCATGGAAACACTGAATTCAGCTTTATAATGATGGCTGAATCTGCCCTGGAGTAATCCTGACCTTTTGACAAAATGAGCTGTGAATTATGGGTCAGTATATCAGTATCGATCCTAATATTCCATATTTGTGTCCTGGTAAAACTGTGTCCTCATAGACCAGGATTCTGTCAAACTTACACAACACACACAGATTCTCCAGTCAAGTCAAACATCAGGAACATGTTCTTATGATGTCCTCATAAAACCGTGTCCTCATAAACCAGGTGTAAAGCTACACACAACCTGACATACTGTAATGAACACGCATGTAATGTGATGCACTAAAGCCCTGAACATTAATCTGTAGGGCTGCACAATATATTGCTTTATCATTCATACCTATCTGTGGTAGTGAGTCTAGTGACACTGCAGTATTAGGCCTATGTGAAGTCAGGCTATACATGCATAACCTAAAGATGATGCAGTGTTATTTTACAGTTATTTACTCAATTTCAGTACCTAAATGTTGCTAGACTTACCTGGAAAATATGAGCCACTGATTATTTCACATCCTTGTTAAATTTTTTTTATCTATGCTTATTTTTTTCTATACAGATACAAACCCCAACAAAATCACGCCAATCATTCTAGAATGATTCATTATTGCCAAATAGAGCTATTTAAGTCATTTGTAGAAATTGCTTTTTATATGTTGCATTATGTATTGTAGAAAAAAACAACAACAAATATTGCAATATCAGTTTTTTGCAATATCGTGCCTGTCTATTACATTGGGTCATTTTTAACCTTTAATAATAAAACAAGTAACTGTAAATAACATATCATGTACCTGACACAGCTTTATTAAACAGTGTCACTTAAGCATGGAAACACTGAATTCAGCTTTATAATGATGGCTGAATCTGCCCTGGAGTAATCCTGACCTATTGACATATTATTCAACAAGTTTGTTTTAAATAAATCGATAAATTATGGTAAACGGCATTCAAGTTATTTTCATACTTTATTATATGATATTTAAGGAATATGTTAATTGAACATAACTATTCATTTAATAAATTGCATTCACAATTGATAAATTACAGGCAATAGTGACAGTATTAATAAGACTTAATCAGACTGACAGTTATATTAATATTCAGAGTATATTGAATTATAGTCAGGAGTGATAAGAGCACATGTTTCTTAATGTAAGCATAACTGTAGTAATATACTGTACTGGGTAAAAAACACTGTAGTCATGACAACGCGTTATTATGAAGGCTAGACTATTTTATGTGATCATTAAAGGTAGCAGTTACAATTAAAGTTCAATCTAAAACGAGTTTAAAATGACACAAGCATCGCTGATTCCCTCATGTCAGTCTGTAAACAGAATCACTAACTTAAAAGTCCGCTAGCTCCGTTAGCATCACGCGCTAGCTGCTTTCTAACTGTAAAACGAGCAGCAAAGAGCCTACAGGACATCACAAACAAGCCAAACAGACCCAGGTGCTATTAGAGAAGTTATAAACAACATTATAACTTACCTAACACATAACAGTTGCTTTCATCGGGTCCAGATATGTCCTTTCGGTCCTTTCAGGTCCAGAGTTTGTCTCTCGTTCAAACAGGAAGTGACCGTGACGACCGTGATCTGATTAAGTTACGTCTAACTTATCATAATATAAACAGGGTTTTATTTATTTATTTATCATACAATTAATCCACAATTAATAAATTACAGGCAAAAATACTTAAATAATAATTATTTTGCATTAAGTTGCTTGTTATAAAGACTATGCTGACGCTGAATGAAGCTCCGCCCACCGGCGCCATTGTGTTTTCGCAATTTCCCGCCTACCGGTACCGATCTGTCCAATCACAGGCCTCGAAGCATACACTTGTGTAAAACATGCAAATTTTTGATGACGCGGGTGTAATACCGGGACCTGGCTACAGGGGCGACACTCGCGAAATCAGGGATACACTGTGTATGGTAAAATTTCAGGGTTTTGTGGTATATAAAGACATGGCGCCAAACTTTGAGAGGGAGCATCTGGGACATCGTAGATGGCGTTTACACTGTCGGAATTATGAGGACATGGCCTCTGTCCTCGTAAACCCAAATGTCCCCATAGTGCCGGTGCGTATTCAGGTCAAATGTCCTCGTAAACCACAAAAACAAACACACACACACACACACACACACACACACACACACACACACACACACACACACACACACACACACACACAAATACCATTATACTTAGTACATTATAGTGTATGAAAACAAGAGATGACCTCAGCAAGAACAATCTCCATCAATTTCTATTTTTATAAGGTGCTCAAATGTGATCTTAAATTCATACCATATACACACATACAATATATCAGTGTCAGATTTGATGATCATAGATGTTTTTCCCCATTGCAGTCCCATTGCAGTCAGAACGAGAACCTGAAATTACTATAATTACATTTATTATAATTATGAAGCAAGTGGCTTCATAAAAATTATGAAACCCACTGTTGTTGTCAAGGAGAGGGCCTCTCTGTCAAAAAAAAAAAAAAAGATTGACAAACTACATGCATGTACAGGGATGGCATACAAGGATTAATATCATTGTGAATAATTTTCACTGACCTGTTAATTTAATCTTGTAGTAAATGAGTCCAGCAACTGCTATAATAACTCCCAGCACCAGAAAAGACACCCCGATACCGATTTTAATCTTCTCAGACACAGGAAGAGATGGTTCTATAGGGTACACTTCTGTGTCAAATTATGCTGACCACAAAATTAGTTCTAATATGACTGTCAGTTAGTATTTCCTCTTACCCCAGTCTGTGACGATGGGTTGAGTTGAGCTGGCATGCTCCACCATACAAGAGATCTTTTCTCCAGATTTTGGGATGTAGGCAATCTCAGAATGTATCTGGTAGTACCAGTCACCATCAGCCATTTCCATAACTGAGGTCATGTCTGAGGTCATTACTTCGCCATCTCTCAGCCAAGACACTTTGATGTGTTTTGGATAAAATTCATATGCGCTGCATATCAACACAGCTGGATGACTGCCACCAGCCTGTTCCACTAAACTGAGCTTAACTTTTGGTTTCACTGAATGAAAGAGAGAGTAACATCATAAATACACAGTTTCCAAAGCATCAATTCATATGTGTGTGTGTGTGTAGCGATTAGGTGTGGGTGGGTAATTTTAGAAAACCTTGGAAATAGAAATTATTTTCATATTTTTTGTAATTACATTTTTATATTTAAATATGCTAGAATTGAATGCTTATTATTCACGGTAACACTAAAACATTTTTTAAATTAATCATTATTTATACTTCCAGTAGCTCCAGTAAAAATAAAATAAATGTTCAAAACAAGAGTTATGTAAGTAACAGAAAGTTCAGAGACTTACCTGATTTATCACGGACAGCTGGATCCCTGTCTCTAATATTAAATCTGCAATCTGCGTCAACACTTTCTCTCATTGATATCACAAAGGGGCTATTGTTCCAGTCCTCTGCAACACTTATTCCATACTCATTAAACCCGACAAACTTCCCCACAGTGCTGTTGAACTGTACAAATAGATATTTATTAAAGTAGAAGCTTTCAATTAAGACCATGTCATCGAGATTACTGGAGCTGTAGAAGCATCTTGACCAACGGGCTGAGTGATATTCATTAGCTGAAAAAGAATGTAGGTTAGGGTTAGGGTTAAGGAAAACAGTTTTGTTAGATAAATGTGTCAACAGAGTCAAAGGATCATATCAGATAAACTCAACCTTTCTTAAGAGAAGGTTGCAGGAGTATAACAGTTTTAAGGTAAGGTAAATAATTTACTCATGTTACTACTGATAGTAATGCAATTATTTTTGATAATTATAGTACTTCAGTACCTCTCATTTTACTTACCTTTTTTTGCTCCAATAAATACAGCCAGTGTCAAAATGAGATGACAACTCAAGTGCTTTAGCGGAGACATTTTCACTCACACTGAATCCCTGCTGAATTTTGCTTTACGTTCACTGATGTCTGATATGACTTCAACCAGTTACTGCAGGTATGTGTCAAGTGTTGCTAGGCAGCTTTCATTTGTCAACAAACACTGTTCAATTATATATAAATTATTGTATTATATATATATATATATATATATATATATATATATATATGTGTGTATATTAGTGCTGTCAGCTAAATACATTATTAACAGTGTTAACGCAAATCCATTTTAACGGCGTTATTTTTTTTTTTTGCGCTATTAATTTTTCTTTTTCTTTTTTTGTTGGCATAGCAAACTTTATAGATTTTTTACACATGCTGTTACAACAACTAGTAACTAGGGGTTGAAAAACTTCAGATTTTTTTAAGTCGACTGTTTTAACATCAAAGTCGAGACGAGTCGACGTCGACTAGTCGCTGACATCATTCATAAAAACACAAGAGATGTGACTGATTTGCAACATGCCACAATTTGCAATTAATTAACAGAAAATTATACAGGTGCTGACAGCTCATAATGGGGCCGTTTACACCTGGACACTTCATGTGTTTTTACAGATCTAATTTATCAAAATGATTCCATTTACACCCGGTCATATAAATATCTTTTTCGCGGATATAAATCCAATCTTCAAACAACGCGCTATATGCAGATTTAACCGAGTTCAAATCACCGAAAGCAAATGAGCTGCATTTTATTCATCATCAGCTAATTTCAAAATCATAGACCGCAATAAGAGAGATAGCACTGGTAAGATCATTTTGTTTCTTTACTTTTAACTGAGATGATTGTGTGTTAAGCGTCAGTGACTTACATTAACTTTGATTCACAATAGTTTGCACGTTGGCTTTATGAATAGATGCTCAGCTGCGGTGATGCGTGTTACCATAGCTTCGTCATATAATGAATATAACATAGGCTCCACACGTTTTTTTAGCATTTTTGGGAAAAGTCCAATTTACATATATGGTTTCAACAACCAGATGCATTTACACGAGTCCAGTTTCGTCTGTAAAGCGGCCCATATCTCCTCATGAAGTGGTTTAAGCGATCGGATTAAAATCCGTCTCCAATGCGTTTCGGAGTGCATTTAGCTTACACCTGGTCTTTTCACGATTGGATAGCAATCAGATCACAGAATCACATGAAGTGGCCAGATATAGCTAAACAGCCCGCTGTTTACATCATCATTTAGGATAAAAAGAAAAAAAAAAGCTATAAATTCACATCTGCACATTAGTGATGGATCCAAGCAATACAAAATAATATTCCAATTAATTGCGAGTGAATTAGACATGCATTCCCAGACAGCAAACTGACATTGAATCAACGTGGAAACGACGTCTCTCATGACATTGAAACAACGTTGATTTGCTCATCGAATTAACGTTGAACCAACGTCAGACGCGGCATTCTTCAAAGCTAAATGAAATCGAAAATTGGTTTGCTTTCATAACGTTGAAACAACGCGTTGATTTCAAGTTGATTTTCCGTTAGTTTTGAAAGAATGACGCATCTGATGTTGGTTCAACGTTAATTCGATGAGCAAAACAATGTCAGATCAACGTTGTTTCGATGTCATATTTCCACGTTGATTCAATGTCAGTTTGCTATCTGGGTTAATATGTTTAAATAAATATGAAAAAAATAATAATGTTTGAATGATTTTAAAAGAAACTGCTCTCATTTCCCAGTAAAACAGTGAACGTGCGTCATGCTTTTACTTTCATTTTCAACAATATAGTGCCAAGTTAGTAAAGTATTTCCATACACTGTATAAACAATGCTGCTTTCTTTCTGCAATGACCCTCTGGGTTCTTCATCTGTTGTCGTCTGCAACACGGCCATTTAGTATCAAAATTAGCGCAATCATACAGTGTCACATGATCAACGCGACTAGTCGACGTCAAGCTTAAAGCGTCACACGGCATTGCATTAAGGTCGACTAGTCGACTAATCGACAACCCAGCAAACAGGGGACGTCCTCCGGACGTTGCGAACGTCTAATTAGGTCCGGATCTGGTCCGGTTCATAACGTTCGCCGGGGGACGTTCCGAGGACGTCCGCATTTGGTCCGGTTTATAACGTTCGCTGGGGGACGTTCGGAGGACGTCCGCATTTGGTCCGGTTTATAACGTTCGCTGGGGGACGTTCCGAGGACGTCCGCATTTGGTCCGGTACATAACGTTCGCTGGGGGACATTCCGAGGACGTCCGCATTTGGTCCGGTATAACGTTCGCTGGGGGACATTCCGAGGACGTCCGCATTTGGTCCGGTATAACGTTCGCTGGGGGACATTCCGAGGACGTCCGCATTTGGTCCGGTTCATAACGTTCGCCGGGGGACGTTCCGAGGACGTCCGCATTTGGTCCGGTTTATAACGTTCGCCGGGGGACATTTTGAGGACGTGCACTTTGACATCAAGGTGCAAAACCATAAAAACAAGAAGTGTTGGTGGTATAAAAATACTGCCTATTAGCATTTTTAGCACATGTTCAAATGAGATATGCTTGAGTGTTCGCAAAAACAATAATAAAAAAATCTGAAAAGTGCCATTGTCCCGGAGTGATAATCCTAGGAACGGGTCATAGCTTTAAAATAAGTTTTAGATTCATGCTTTAATAATGATATTTTTATTCAAGTAGGTTATAATTCTAATTTATGTTTGTAAATATATGACTTGATGCGTTTTAACGGGCATGCGCGTGAAGTTGAGTTGCCATGGAAACGGAGGGTCACCAGTGCAGACAGCAAACTCCGACTCTCCCTGTTTTCACTGCTTTCAGGTGAGTTTAGTCTGTAAAATCACACAAATAATACACACGACTGTTCTTGACACTTCTCTTAATTTTAACTGGCACGCTTCTGTTTAATATTTAACGTTACTTTATAGAAATGGGTTGTCTTCGAAAAAATCCATTAGCATCACTAACCGTTTAGCTACAGAGTTAACGTAAGGCTAACGTTATAGCTTGAGCTTTTGTTTATGAATGTTTGGGCTTTTAATCACATTTTATGTGTTGATTAGAGGTTTTGATATTTTTGTAGCCTAAATATTTTGGAAGTGAGCTAAAAACGTATGTATTTAACATAAAACGTTACGTTTTATTACTGTTAATCGATGACGTCACTTACACGGCTGAACTAGCTAATGGTAATGGTTCATAAATATTGATAAAAAGAAAAATTATGTGATTTCAGCAGCAACAAGATAACTGTTGGCTATGTGACAAATGGTTTGTTGTGTTCCTAGATCGTTCCATGCTGATGCCCTGCTCAGTAGCAGAGTTGAACTGGCCATCATCTGAACCTGGCAACCGGACACGCAAACACACACGCTCTTTTTTGATAATGAAAATAAAATTATTTTGTTTCCATATTCCTTGTTGTGTGTTTGTTCCTTGGGTAGTTAATATGTTAAAAATACTTCTAGTGAACGTAAAGTTCACTAGGCCTATAGAAGTCTGAAAAGTCCCCGAATGTTTGCTGAACGTCCCGCAAACGTTCCCTGCGACGTCCTGTGAACGTCCCGCAAACGTCCCCTGCGACGTCCTGAAAACGTTTAAAGAACCCTACACGAAGACGTTCAGGGGACGTTCGCAGTGGACGTTCAGGGGACGTCCTGGGGACGTGTTTTTGTTAGCTGGGAAGCACCCCAGATCATTTCTTGCCTGATCATAATGGGCTATATGCACGCATAAGTTCCGCATTTGACGCAGGGATGCTTGTCCATTTCCGGTTGTGGAGATTAAAGCGGAGGAAAACCGAGGAAAACGGGATTATGGCAGAGTCTTCAAAATTTACTGTCTTCCCGTCTTTGAAACGAAATGTACATACGTTTAAATGTAATTTTTTATATCGTTATGTTTATTTAATATAATTTTAAAAAGAAGCATAAACACAACGAGGGGTGTCTGTTTTATCTGTTTTTGTGACTAACGTTTCTTTAGTATAACCATGGAGTGTAAAATTCAATATAAATTCTCGGTTTTGCATTGGACTCTACGATCGGCGGAAGTTATCGAGCATCCTTACACCTTCATCGGAAATACTGCCGTGCATAGCCCTTACCAAAATAAAGTATACTTCAAGTTTATTTTACTAAGTAAACTTAAAGGGACTCTGTGTAGGAATTACCCCCATCTAGTGGTTAAATAGTATTTTGCATTCAAACGAATTTTGCTCTCCAGCGCCTCGCTTTTTCAAGTGCGTATTGCATCTACGGTTGCCGTTATGTACCAAAAATGCTATGACAGGATGTCTTGTAGTAACACTTCATCGAGTTTTTCTCCAGGTAAACAGGTTTGTAACTTAAAAAAAAAACAGCAACTTATGTGTACAATTATGTGTCCAGCTGTATAAATTAATTTTAATTCTCTGTACAATCTTATCCACATAGCAAAATCACAATTTTAGCTAATTGATCATTTATATAAAAAAAGAAAGCTATAGAAAATCTTACAGAGAGCAATATTTTCTTCAATATTTTCTTACAATCATTATCTCTATATTCTTACTGAATTTATAGGTTATAAAGAATTAACTTACAAACCTTGTTTTTAGCACCTTACTTCACAATAGCTGCGAGTAAAGTAGTCAATAGCTGCTATTCATCAAAGACCTTGTTTAACTTTTTTACCTATAAATATTACTGTCTATATAATAAAGTACACAACCAAGCAATGACAAAAAAATTAAGTAACATTGACTAACCTGTCGAGGAGAAAGCAGGCAACGCAGCGTCTCTTCTGAAATCTTTCTGCTGCATTAGCTCTTTCCACGGTTGAAAACGCTATCCCGATATTTAAGGCCATTGCACACTG